ATTTCTTCTATAGGACATAGCGTTGCGCTGGCCTCAAGCTGAAATTCAAGTCAGTATCATTTATATTACTTTTGTTATCAATCTGTATATTGCATAATAGTATTTTCTTTATAAGTGCGTTGCATTATTTGTTCTGTTTAGTTCCTGATTGTTTCCAACAATTTCCACTTCCATGTAAATTGATAATTATATCTAATACGGTTATTGTTACTGTTATGTCTATCACAGCGGTCCCAGCCAAACAACGGTCCCTGCCACTTCAGAAATTTACTATCCACACATTTATGATTCAGAGATTGAAAATTTGTGAATAATGCTATTATGCATGCTACCTACCAAAGATTTGTGATTTCTAAAAGATCATTGCTGCATTACCAGGGCATGGTAATGGGCCAGCTGAAGGACGAACCACGTGATATTATATCTTTTAGGGTTTTGGTCTACTCTGTGTTTGGCATCTCGAAAAACGTGATATTAATTATCATTTGTTTATTAAGGGGCTTCAGTGTACTTGTAAACATATATATAGATTGAGAGAGTAAATAAGTTCATCCACAGTTTAATTGCTGGGTTTGATTATAATGGATTGGATAGGATTGTATGGAGCTTTTCTTCTTCTACTACTACTCTTCAACATTGGAGCATCACAAGCGATAATCAAGACTCTTCCGGGTTATTCTGGTACTCTTCCGTTCAAACTCGAAACGGGGTTAGTTCATTCTTTGTTTGCCTTTAGATACATAGCACTACATGGTTGACAAGATTTTAACTTCGTTCCCATGTTCAAATGATTGATTAGATACATTGACGTGGGAGAGAATAATGGAGTACAACTATTCTACTATTTTATTGAATCGGAGAACAGTCCTAAAAAAGATCCTCTTTTGCTTTGGATAAGTGGTGGACCTGGTTGCTCTGGTTTATTTGGCATCGTTTATGATATTGGTAATCTTTCCTTGTAAATAGATGTGAATTTTTGAAAAATATCAAAGAGTAGGAGACCAAAAAACCAAACACAAATTGAAGCACGAATCCAAGAACTAGGACCAAAAACACACAAATTGAAGATATCAAAATATGTGAAAAGTGGAGGCATGAACACGTTGAAAAAGCATTATTTGAAAGCCGATATTTTGCTCCCTTTTGGTTTATGTGATGCTTTAAGGACTCCTTGGGCAGATTAATCAAGTGTTTTAGTAAATTTGAGTAAAGCAGAATGAAAACCTGAGAAAGGAATAATGAAATTTTGGGAAATTCTAGATATTGGGTTTTGAGATTGATATGCTCTGTGCCTCGCCTTGAACCCGTCTTAACTAGGTATGAAGACGGAGTAAAGAGACAAAAATATTCGATGGGATAAGAGACGGAAATGGCTGCCACTACCTTGACCCACCCCCCATTGCCATTAATAAAATAGACTTGCTTGACATCTTAACAATGAACTCAAGGGAAATTCAACCCCACTACATGTACAATGATTAAGAGGTTGCAATTTTTTCAACCTCTTACATGGAGGTGGGACCCACTAATTAATTGTACAATGATTAAGAGGTTGCAATTTTTACAACCTCGTACGAATAAATTTTTTGAGGGAAACTAACTGCTAGACCATATTTTGTACACCATATTGAGTTAGGCGAGATAATATTAGGTAGAGCATGATTAATGTGAATATGATGTATTGGTCTAATACTGCTTTCGTTGCTACATTGTATTAGAAAAGCATACAAGTATTTCTAAATAAATATTGCTAATTTTTTTATTTATAGATTATTTTTCTTACTTGTACGTAAATTTACTCAAAAGTGAATTTTTACAATAAGTATTTTTTATTTACAAATTTTTACTTATAAATGTTTTTTTAGTTACATATAATTTTCTATGTATAACTAAATTTTTACCCATAATAAATCTTTTATTTAAATGTGTGTTTTAGTTATAAGTAATTTTATATTTATAAGTGAGTTTTTAACTAATTCATAGCCTTTTCTTGTAAGTGAATTTTTACTTATTAAGACATTTTATATTTATTATTTATAGGTTGAGGGAAAGGGTAAGGGTAAGGGTAAGGGTGAGGGTTGGGAGAGGGCAGAGGGCAGAGGGTTACACATCTTGAGTCTGTTAGTATGTGAATGTTAATGGGGCACGTCAGTTCCCTTTATGATTATTTTTTCAAAATATTAATTCAATTAAATATCATAATTATATTGTAATTATAAATTATTTTAGCCCAATGGTCCTCAATTAGTTGAGGAATCTCCAAATTAATCAAAATTTCAATGATAAGAGGAAATCTTGCACAAATCAAGACCAAACAACATTATAGGGACTGCTTCGACTAACTTTACTCCAAAGTTTTCTTCTTCAATTTGCAAATAATCAACACAAATCTACAGGTTTGTAATTTCTTACTTTTTGATTGAATTAGTTTATATTTTGTTTGATTATTGAGAAACAAATTATATACTTCAGGATTATTCAATAAAAAGAAAGAAATTATATGCCAATTTCTAATGATAACTAATGATTTATGCAATAACTGCAATCATGGACATGATTTTCACCTTGATTTTAATTTGGTTGAGGTTTTTTAATTCTAGTACACATGAAATTTCATCTTTAGATTAATGATTTTGAGTTAATATATATTAAAATTTAGATTTGTACGAATTGGATTAAGCTAGTATATATGAAAAATCAATTTTGGATCAATTCAGATGATGCAATGCAAGTCTCTGTAATACAATTATGATTATGAGAAAAGTGATCTCTGTTACTTTTTAAAAAAAAATGTCACAATCTATCTCATTTGAATTCTTTTGGATCAACTAAAGAGATGCTCACATAAGTGTTTATCAAAATTTAAATATGAATATGAATTCAAACCTTACTTTATATTAAAAAGTGAGATAATGTAACACTTTATTTGACATTCGCATATGAATTCACGTGGTGGAATTTAAAAGTTACATACCTTGTCACCTTTTAAAAAAAGTCTTAACACCATTTCATTTGTATTCTTTTTGCATATGTGGATAAAATTAACGGCTTCTTGTGTTATGAGGCAAATGGGAACAAGATAACAATTTTAGAACTGATAAAATAATTGAAATTGTTATCCCAATAAAATGCACATGCAACAACCATTGTTAAAAATAGATGTCACTTTCTTGTTAAAAAAGTATCATATCATATCACCTTTTTTAAGAAACTAAATTTTAACTCTATTTTAAAGAGACCAAGCTGTAATTATTGTCATTGATAAGCAATTCCATCAATAAAATAACTGATGTATCCTTATATTTACATATAAGCTAAATTTAACAACAATTTTATAAAGTTCAAAGCGTATATCATTTTTTGTTAAAAATGTGACATACCATCACTTTTTTGAAGGAGCTAAGGTATAACACTGCTAAAAAGTATCATATTTCATAAAAAAGTGACGTATCATAGTCCCTTTAAATCAATATTCCTGTGATATGATTAACTTTCAATCATGTAAAGAGAGAAAAAAATACTGTTAGACTAAAAGTGATTTATGTGATATGATTAATTAACTCTCAATCCTGTCAAAAGAGGAAATAAAGACTTTTAAAAGGAAAAGTGTAAGAAATTCAAAAAAAGTTACACATACTTAAAAAAATGAAAAAAATCAATTGGTAGGCTTTTGGGGTTTTGAGCGTAATTAATATGAGAATTTGTTGTTCCAATTAATTTAAGTGTATTAATCTAATATTTTATTTTTTTGGGGTAGTGAGCCTAATTTTCCCATTGCATATTGATTTTGGATCTAGGCTCGGACCTAGGTTATATGTGTCTCATGTAGATATTGGAAAGAGAAAATTTACATAATCCCACACACATTTTGTACTCAACTTGTAAAAAGCATATTTTAAAACTTTTATTTTTTGATATTTATAGCCTTTTGATATTGAATATTATTATTTTGATCCCTCAAGTTATTCTTCATAAATGTAACTCATATTATTCTCACCCCAATTGGTGAGCTTGTATGTAGGTCCATATACTTTTGATATTGAAAATTTTGATGGAAGCTTACCATCTATTCTCCTAAATCCATATTCTTGGACCAAGGTAAAAAAATCTCACCTCCATGCATTTTTCAAGTCATATATGTATGTCTTCCATTGCTTTCTACCTTTATAATAGGATAATTAATTTTCAGGTTGCCAATATTATATTCATAGATGCGCCTATTGGTACCGGATTTTCATATGCAAACACTTCACAAGGTTATTCTTCCTCGGACATCAAATCAACAAAAGATATTTACACATTTCTTAGGAAGGTTAGTCGACATTATTTATCATAGATATTTTATTACTGGGTGGAAATTGAGGCAATAGAAAAGAAGTACTATGTGAATTGTGAAACTTACAAGTAGTCATTGCACATTCGCACCTATGCGTACTCTCCCACCTTATTTTTGGGTTAGTGAACTAACAATATATTGAGAATAATGCTATGCAGTGGTTATTGAATCATCCTACGTTTATCAAAAATCGTCTATATGTTGCGGGTGAATCCTATGGAGGCAAACTTACTCCAATGGTTTCCGTGGAAATACTACGAGGTAGTATGTATAAAATATAAAAAAAGAAACTTACAAGATTCTATTTCGATATTCTCTTATCCACCTATTAAGCTTGATTAAGTTGTTAGTCTTGATCGTAATGCAGGAAATGAAGCACGACTTCAACCACAAATGTCATTCCAAGTATTGATTAGCTTACGCAAATATACGAATTTCTCCTTATTTACTTCCCAATACTATAAAATATATATTTCGTGTTAATAGTCGAGTACTTTTAAAATTAATACAGGGATACATTATTGGCAACGGACTAACGGATCCAAATATTGATTTTAATGCACGAATTCCATATGCTCATCGCTGGGGTGAATATAGACTACTTATAAAACTCCATTTGAAAAAATAAGTTAATAAAACTACTATTTACGTTGTATAACGTAGAATAAGAGTAATAAAAATTGACACAATTTCAGTTAGCAAAACTTAGTTGTGATGGGAAATATTACAATCGTGATCCAAATAATGTGCAATGTTTATATGCCCTTCAACGAATCCAAGGGGTAACATTTCTTTTTATTTTACATCGTATTTTTTAATTTTAATTTTCATTTCTTTAACCTTTTTTTGTGGTTGTAGGCACTAAAAAAGTGCTATTGTAATAAAATATTGCAGTGTTTAAGTAATATAAACCAAGTTCAAATTTTGGGTGAGAATTGTGGATTTGCAGCAAGAAAACCATATGATTTTGGATGGGATCAAACATTTCGGGGAGACCATTCAATTGACCATCTTGTCCTCCCAAATGCAGAACAAGAGTGTCAAGTAACTTAATCAATCCTCTATTTATACATCCATAGACACTGGCTTAATATTTATTTTTCTACAAATTAGGTTAAGAATTACCTTGTCTCTAAAGAAAGAACTTTATAAAATTATTTTTGGTAGAAAAGAAGCTTAAAGTAATTTTTTTTTTTTTTTGAATCTTAACAGTGCATCCCGAGTTTCTCACGACCATTTTTTTTGTTTACAGAATATTTTTGCAATATCTGATTATTGGGCAAATGATCCGATTGTTCAAGAAGCTCTTAATATTAGAAAAGTACGTCAAATAGAAAAAGATTATGTGTTATTATGTGCTAGCTGTCAACAAAAACAGTATATTGATCACAATATTTATAGTGATCTCGTAATTTGATCACTAGGGAACGATAACAAAGTGGAGAACATGCTATGATGGAATATCCTTTGAACCAAATGTAGAAAGTGCTCTTGAATATCATAAAATTTTGATCAAGAAAGGATACAATGTTTTGGTATACAAGTAAGTCATAAAAGTTTCTTTCTTAAGTAGAAATTCTGACTTAATTTGTTCGAAGTTTAATCTAATCGATCAACGTATATTTTGGATAACAATTATTGAAAGAGCATTAAGCAAAAAATTTTACCATACAAATATGTAAATTTGGTCTATGTTGTCTAATCATGCTTTTTTTCTTTCCAGCG